TTGGATTCCATATTTAGGGAGAGAAAGGAGAATACATAAGAGTAGATGGAGATAAAAATCAAAGAGAGAGATTATGAAGATTTGTATGGGTAAACATATAGGATTCCATCTAATTCTAAATAAAGATAACATCTTCATTTATAGTAAATTATGCCAAAGGAATACGTATAGAAAGATAGGCTTGAGGAGATGCCCACGTATTTAGAATTGACTTAGACATGTTAGTCAATAGATAGCGATTGAGTTAGGAAGAATAAGAGCTATTGCCTTGGGCTTTACGATTTACAAACATGAGCCATGAAAAGTTAATGAGAAGTATTTGGGGGTGAAGTCCAAGGGCAATGTGGTAAGTCTCTCTCTCCTTCTCTCTTTCACTAAACTATTGGCTTGGGCTTAATGAATTTCCATACATGAGCCATGAAGAGTTCAACGAGAAGTATTTGGGGAGTGGTCCAAGGGCAATGTGGTCTCTCTCTAGACAGAATGACGTCTTGGAATCTCTTTCTCTTGACTTTACATAGAGAGTGTGAAGGTTTTAAGTCGCTCTCTAGGGAGTTGCTAGGCCTTCTCAACACTTGCCGGCGTGGATGTGATAACCAAGATTGATACAGGAAACCTAACCTTTCTCTCTGAGAGCAAGAGTTGATAGATTGTCACACAATGAACCTAGGGTGCAATGGTGGTCTCATGGACTACGCTTTCTCCTATACAATGGTGAAATCCACACTACGAAAGATTATCCTTATCTCATGGGAGAGTCAAAATACCAAGAGAAGAAGGTGAGCCTTTTCTTTTATTTTAATACACTTTTCTCAATTTTAGATTGCTCGAAGCTAGAGATAGACACATTGAAAATTCAAAGCACGTACACATTTTCTCTTACTCTCTTATCTTTTACCATCTTTACTAGGTGTGGAGCATACACCATGACATCCCCGTTGTTAATTGTTTCTACTATGTTTGTAGTTATTTTTAAATAAGTTCTCTGCATTATTATTTTATATCTTCATTATTTTATTCCTGCTTTTTATGGTTATTGCTATCTCAATCAATTCTTAATGTCATTGTTTTTTTTTTTGCATGCTTTACTATGATTAGTTATTTGTCGTTGTCGTTGATCTGCTATATGAAACATTGTTTGTTGTATAAATTTATCATTGTTCATTTTGAATTCATTAATCTATTAATCTTATTGTTTATTTTATTAATCTTATGATGAAGCTCTTACTAGTGTACGAACAACTAGTGGAGAGACGAATGAGTTT